TCTGCTCTTACGCAAGAAACAGTGTCATGCAAAATGCTGCATATTCTACAGGCGGCTTGTCGCTTCCATCTGACTTCCGGTTCACTTCCACGTTTTCGAAAGGGTTTATGCCCCTTCAGTGTCACAGCCATTGCCTGAATGATGGTCCCTAAGCTCTGGCTGTCTTGGTGACCCACACTAAAAAAATCGGTTGCCTAGCTGGGCCTCAGTGGTGCACAGCTGTGTAGACTCAGAAACCAAAACCAGATCTATTTTAAATCTGCTCCTGATCTCTTAGCTGTTGAGCGTACCGTCTTGTCAGTGGTCTTCTAGTCTATTTCATGGTTGTAACTTTAAATAATTTTGTATGTTCTGCGTTTCCTTACCGGCCTAGTGAATGGCCGGAGGCAGGACTTCTCGTTTGTGGAAATATAAAATCGCCCTCCCTTTGAATAGCTAAAACGATCACTTTAAAATGGATTACTGTTTTAACTGAAAGGGGGCAGACACATGTGAAAAACCCGTGTGGGTCTGTACAACAGTTGGTAGGAGGTGGTCGGTACTTGGGGGTAGATGGTTTCTTTATAAAGTTTGTTGGTAACATTATGACTCTCAGTTGGGTTGTGACCTGGGCCTTGCCAGAGAAGTGAAATCTGGTTTTGACAAGCCGAGGAGAAGGGGTGGGAGGGGAAAGGACAGATAAGTCAAGGTAAAAATCGACAAAAGCGGATCCTGTTTTTAAATCAAGATAAGATTCAAAACAGATTTTGGGTCTGGAAAGGTTAGGAAGCCATGGATGTATCTGGGAGTTGTACTGCCACACTGATGCAAGATTAAGTTCTTGCTGAATACAAGCTGTCGTGTTCAGGGTTTTTGCTTTTCACAATCGTCTTGGAGACTTCGGGGTGTGTGCACACAGTTGCCGCAGTTGACTTTATCTTGCAGTGATCATGCATTTTTTCCGCTCTTATGAGACGTTGAGCAATGGAGGCCGGGTTAGGCGGTTTTGCTTGCTCCATGAAAACAAGACAGTATGGGAAAGGATCCCCCCCCCCCTTCCCTTTCCCTCGCTGGGCTATGGAAGAGAACATCATGTGCTGCTTCTGGAAAAAATGTATTTAAATTTTAAGCATATGTGGTGCTGTGGTGTGAAGTGGGATTTGGCACTGTGGGGCGCCCTGTCCTTTTAAAAAGACAAGGCGGTGGGTTGTATGATTTATATATCCACCCTCTGGGTTAACTTAAGCACAGGATATTTACCCTTGTATGTGGGGGAGGGCAAAGTGGGAGGAGGAAATCTGGTGTGTATCATCTTAGAGCCGACCCAAGGTTGTGCATAAACTAAAGCTTTGT